AGTGACCACAAAAACATAGAAACCGAATGAATGGGTAAAGTGTACAAAAGGTTTTCTGTTGAATGATGTTGAAAAAAAAAAAAAAAGTGTAGTTTAGTGGCCCGTTTCTATTGAGTGATATGGTACGGTACAGTTCGGTACGCTTTTATGTTCGTTTACACTATCAAAAGATACCAAAAAGCAAACAGTACCATAGCACTTTTAGGGTACCCAATTAGCAATAGTACCTAGCACAACAAAAGGGTACCAAAAGGTGGAGCCAGACACACAGCTGAACGCTATTGGTTTATAGACAGGGCTCGAAATTAACCTTTTTGCTTAATAGCATCGGTGCTCCTAACTTTAAAAATAGGCGCATCAGCCAAAATTTAGTCGCACTTATAAGCAGCGTTACTACAAGTTTTATACAAACATATTTATTGCATTTGAAATCAACACTAATCAAACTAACAAGCAAAGAAATATATATGCAAGCGTGAGGAAAATATGTCTCAACGAAATCTCGTTATCACAAGAATAGATTTTTATAACATAACTGAGTGACCAAAAGGTACACGGAGCGCTCACCGGCCCTGCACGCACTGCTTGACATGAATGAATCTGTTAACGATATAACTGTGCTGTTCTCACGGGTCGTATCTAATATTGCACCGATGTTTTTGAAATATACTGTACCTTATTATATGCATACGTCATGTTAAAAGCAATAATTTTCATGAGTAGCGATAATAGTTTAGTCAATGTCAGCCCGTTTGCGGTGGTGTCTGTGGTGTTAAATTTGACATATAGCTGCCACTTGCATAGAGTACAGCATCTGGCGATTATATGAAGCATTAAACAGAAGATCTCGTGCAAGATGTGGCATGCAGTTACCTGAAAATTCCATCCCACAGAAAATCTGTCAGTGTCATCTTCATTCTCATCTTCAGCGCTTTACAGATTTTCGCGGTAGTAGCTCTCTCTGTCATCCCAAGCCAGAGGGCATTGGCTGAGTGATTGACAGCTGATATTTCGGTGCTAGAGCAGTAGTGGGCCAATAAAAACAGTAAAAACTGGTCGCATACAACAATTTTTTGCACTCGCACACATGCTCCCAAATATATTTTGAAGTCGCATAGGTAAAATTTTGGCCGCATATGCAACCAAAATAGTCGCAATTTCGAGGCCTGATAGAGATACATTACTTGCTCGTGCACAAGCCAGGAGAACAAAATAAAGGAACTCCCATGATTTAAATACACAGCCCAGACATTACATCGTAATAATATATACATAAAATACCGAGCCATGGTCGACCCGAGCTCAAATAAACCTTGTCGTTGTCTATATGAACCGCTACAAAGCCAAAAAGAAGCACAGACACGCATATGTAATGCAATAGCAATGGTCCTTTTGGACTATTATGAACTCGAAATGATGAAATTATGTTATAACGTGACATATGTGCTGGTGAAGAATAAAGATACAGATTGACAGATTTGTTTTTGTACCCAAATAAGAACTAAATGTATGCTGTGTGTAGTTTTTCTGTAATTAGTAACAGACTGGAGACTGTAAGTGTCTGTATGTGTTCATACATGTTGCATTTATTTATTTGTTTTATATAACTGCAGGCATCACAGTAAGCTATTAAGCTATTTATAGATCTGCTGTTATAATGAAATTATGTACATAGAAAGGTGAGTAATGAACATTTATACAACAGTATTTATGTTTGTGAAGCATCTGTTTTGTAAGAAGTGCTTCTCGTATGATACACGACCCGTATAGCTTTACTTTGACATTTCCTCGAATGACAATGACTTCGACTGCAACTTTGTCATACACCATGCCTACCACAAGGGTACCACTGGTATCTTGGCAGTGGAGACTCAAGCCTGATAAAGGTGACTCATACTGAACCGTACCATACTGTACCACTTAGGCATAAAACAAGTGCTCTATTAGTTGAAGCATTAGTTCACCCCAAATCAAAAATCCTGTTATTGCCTCGTGTTTCAAAGATGAACAAAGGGAATTATGAAGGGAAAACTTTATTGTTGTTGATGTATTTGAAAAAAAAAACTGAATCTGTAACAAGAGGAGTAAATTGAGTAAACATTTTCATTTTTGTGTGAAATAACAATTTAAAAGTATTTCAAAAACTTCAAAAGTTTCACTAGTTCCCTTTTCTTTCTGCTTCTAAATTATTCCAATGCAGACATTGCTAGTTGTATTTGCTTGACCTTATAATTCCCATGTTTTCAAACATGTTAACTAAAAAAGCTTGGCTCAATGTGAAGGACCAGATTAGAGTGACATGAGAGTGAGTACTTAGTAACATAATTAAAATGTTTGGGTGAACTAATAATTTAGCAAACCAAAACAACAACGCTATAATAATGCTAGCTATGACTTCTGATGAGATACAGGAACTAATCAGCATTGAAAGTCTAGATATGGACCACCAGCACCTCATGAATAAATATCAGTAGAATGGCTAAATTTAACTGGCATTCAATTATTGTTTGCAAATGAAGTTCATTGGTTTATTTAGAATGCAGAGAAACATCCTTGCACTGAATTCTCCTGCATAATGCATGAAGAACTCTTCAGTGAATGTACTACTTTTAAACTGCCTTCAAGTGATTATAGCTGCTAAGCTGTTAGTAGTTATAAACACTGAAATATGAATGACCATATCAGATATTGCAAGAAAGAAGTATTGGCGCAGAGCATCTAGCAGGATTATGCATGAATGTGCATCTTCATAATATGTATTGCTGACTGATATCAAGATTTTTGGACAACAATAAGAATAAATTTATATTTTTCACTACAACTGACACTTCCCAACTTTTCCTAAAACAACTGTTTACATAACTATCCAAAATATGTTCAAGTGGTCCTATCTCTGCTCCAAATCCTCAATTAAAAAGCAATGCTAACAATGCAAAGTTCCTTTACCCAGTGTTAAAATAAAGAGTTAAACTAGTTCAACTTCTTTTTTGTGTTTTGAAAGAAACTCCTATAGGTCTGTAACCAGTGGAGGTAAACAATGACAACATTTTCATGTTTGCGTGAATGAACAATTTCAAGTATTAAGACAATAACTTTCTCTTCACTTCTAATTTATTTCCATGCAGACATTCTTTACACTAAACTCTTAGTTTAAACTGAAGTTGTATTTGGTTGACCTTATAAGTCCCATGTTGTCTAACATGTTAACTAAAAAGCTTGGCTCAGTTTGAAGGATCAGCTTGAGGCCCTAATAAATACACATGTGGCCATGGCATCCTCTTCTGCCAGAACCAGTGTGTTTAGATGCAAATATTCATGTTAAAAGAGAGAAACCGAACAGATTTCACATTACTCATCATCGTATAATCTCTACCCATAAGCCACTGCACACATTGGCCTACATACATTTAGGAGACACTGAAGCGTGACCTATTTCTAGCTGCTTTGACAATCTGTCGCTAGCTCAGGATGACATCCCAAAAATCAACAATCACCTGGAAGCTCTACTGTTTCTTAGCGATAGAAACTAGAGCTGATGTTCAAAGATCTTGATTAGGGTTTTGTCTGACTAAAGCGATGCTTAAGGACGGGTCATGACTTTTGGCTCTTTGTTTTTTGTAATGAGCTTGCATGAAAATCCTGTCTGCGAAAGCCATGAATTGCAAACAGCCAATCAATAATGTGTTCCACACCTCACAACACACATTCTGGCGCACTTGCCCCGTTAGCTTGGTTCGTTTGAGCATGTGTGAAACCCACAGTTGACTCTAATCTGCTCCAAACAATCAGTTCGAGATCGCCAGAATAGGGGGTCTCAGCTCGGTTGAAATTAACTCTAGAGTGGATTGATCGAAGTTAGAAAAGCAATACGATTTAACGGACTAACCAGACTATATCATAGATTATGGATATATAAAAGGCATATTCAGTTGATGTCGGAATTGTTAGGCCCCTGTTTATTTTTTCCCTCAATTTCTGTTTAACGATGAGAAGATTTTCTCCACACATTTCTAGACATAATAGTTTAAATAAATCATCTCTAACTGATTTATTTTATCTTTGCCATGATGACAGTAAATAATATTTTACTAGATATTTTTCAAGACACTTCTAGAAAGCTTAAAGTGACATTTAAAGGCTTAACTAGGTTAATTAGGTGAACTAGGCAGGTTAGGGTTATTAGGCAAGTTGTTGCATAACAATGGCTTGTTCTGTAGACTATCGAAAACTAATAAAGCTTAATAATTTTGACCTAAATTGTTTTTAAAAAAATAAAAAACTGCTCTTATTCTAGCCGAAATAGAGCAAACAAGACTTTCTCCAGAAGAAAAAATATTATCAGACATACTGTGAAAATTTTCTTGCTTTGTTAAACATCTTTTGGAAATTAAAAAAAAAAATAATAAAAAAATTCAAAGGGGGGCTAATAATTCTGACTTTAACTGTATATGCCTATTGGAAGAGAGAATGATGAGTAGAGATCATTTCTACTGGTAAAAGTACATTTTATGTCGAATAGGAAAGTGGAAGCATGCTGTCTGACTGAACTATTAAAAAATATACAATATCTATATAATATAATTAACTTTTTGGTTAACTCAACTTCTGATATAGAACCACTATATATTTTACAACCCTTGACAATTGAACTGAGGCTATGTATGAAATATTATTACCTCTGATTTGTATTTGGTGATGGCTAAATCTGTGGGTGTCACTATTCAAAATGAAAGCATAGATTAAAATGACGGCGTATGACAGCTGAGCGGAATCCCAGAAAATAAACCAAACTCTGACAAATGTGAGGAGAGTTTACTCACTCGTGACTTGTTTGAACAATTTTGGTCCGTTTAGAAAAAACCGCACCAAGAACAAAAAGTAACATTGTAACAATTTTAAACCCTGTTTTGGAACAAAACAATCGATTTATAGACGTGAAAGCACCCTTAGACTAGTCAACCAAGGCATCAAGCATTGTTACGCCACATAAAGATTCGTACCTTCTACACTGTCAGAACATGAGGTCCCGATGCCGGTGTCACCACTGTCTGAGGCGGCACTATGACGGCGCCCGCGGCTGCTAATGCCAGTGGCAGAAGAGGATGCTTGCCATGCCGAGTCGCAACCTGGGACCCATCCAGGAGAGGACGTGCTCGAACCTACGAAACAAACAGATGAGGGTTAATATGGAAGATGTCCACTTAGTTGTTTTTATTTACAGTTAATTGAGCATCCAATAACACAAAACAACTAGGAAATGCAGCTGGATTAGGGCTGGACGATATTAGAAAAATCTGAAATTGCATTATTTTGTTTAGCTGCAATATATATTGCAATTTTCCCAGAGATAGGTTGCGGTTGGATGGGCATCCGCTGCGTAAAAACATGATGGATAAGTTGGCAGTTATTCCAATGTGACGATCCTGGATTAATATAGGGATTAAGCCGCAAGGAAAATGAATGAATGAATATATTGCGATATGAATATAATTTCACCAGATGATTTGGATAGCTCTATTTGGAAAGATTTCATTGATTTAGATTGGCAGGATGCTTTAAGTTCTTTTCTATGCAGTACATAAATCATAATAAATTACATGCAAAAACAAATGAATGGTGCTTTATAGTTTTGGTCTAACAGTAATCAAGTAACTCAGGGGAAAAAAAATTAAAAATTTGAACATCAAATGTAAAATTGCATGGTCATCATTGTATATTTTATTTATTTAGTTAGTTATTTTAAATAACAATTTCTTTAATAAACAATCAAATCTGGCGATGTGACTACTGCAGATACACACATTGCGCTATCGATGCTCAAACGATATATTGTTCAGCCCTAAACTGGATTTTGCTTAAGAACTACAGAACTGCAAACATTTGGCCACATTTACACCTGGCTTTAAGATGCATTTTATTTAGATTCAGCTACAAGCGAACGCTAATTGCTAAATGCAGGTGTAAACGTTTTAAGCTGAAGCATTTATGCTTTCGACCACTTCCAGAGGAGGTTGAAAACACATTTGTTCACATTGCTTTCATAGATGCTCATATGGTTGGAAAAAAAAAAAAAAAATCACCTACTTTTCAGCCTACTGACCTAATTCTTCAATGATTCAGTATGTGGTGTTGATGTGCACTAGCATGGTGCACTTTAAGCTTTGCTATGTAAAATTGTAAATGAAACACACACAATCTTTAAAAACAGTCCTGATTTTAACACAAACCTACAGATATCAGAGCAGAAATGAAAAGCTGTAGCGTTTTGTATCTTTTACAATTTGACTTCATTCGTGCTCACAGGTATTTATTCGGTAATAGATTATTTGTAAGATTAGAAAATGTCCGAACATCAGTCCAGAGACTTTCCATTCAAAGAAAAGTGGTCAAAAAGCGGACAAAAGAGACGGATTGAACCATTGGGAATGTGTCTCTCTCACCAAGAGACTTCAGGGCCAATATTTTTGAAAAAAATCAATACTAATTTATTTAGCAAGAACACATTAATCTGATCAAAAATGCTAGTAAATTTATTTATAATAATACAATCAGTTCACACTTTATTTTAAGGTCTTCTTTTTACTACAGTACGTACTAATCAATTATGCATAATTAATTGCAACTAAACCAAGACCTAGCCCATGTCCTAACCCTAACCATATTAAGTACATGTAGTTATTTCATATTCCCCCTCAGTAGTTAAATAATTCAGTATGTTTATTTATTGCCAAATGAGCTATATATGGCTATTTCATGGCAAGATAACAATGACAACAAAATTAAATGTAACCTGCATTTATTATAACTAGTGTTTTATTACTTCATATTAAACAAAAAATACAAAAACAATCCAATAAAGCACCACAATGTTTTTAACATGTATAATAACACCTAAACTGTTCTTATGATTATTAAGATTTTAAACCTGATCCCTAGTCATTTACCTATTTGAGCAGTTCAAACACAAAATAAGGTCAAGTTCAGTGAACCAATTGGTCAGTCTTGTGCTAAAAAGCTTGTCCCCGATGTGTGCTGGCCTAATCTATTCTAAGGTGTAATCCGTTTAGATGCCACCATTTAGGCTGTCCTCCATAAAGCCTGCCAGGGGAAAAAATGGTATAAGAAATCTCTCTTGCCAACATCTCTTGCGCATCTATGATTTGCTTCCAATAAGATGAACAGAAAAACTGAGAAAATATATTATTATTTTATATTTGGTAACTGTTTATTTGACCTTGTTACACATGATCCATGTAATAACTACAGTAATAATAACAATGCATTATGCATTATCACATGTGATGTTCTCTAGACCTATCTATCTAAGCTTATCTATTCAGAGACCATTAACACAGAATGCATTTTTCAATTAAAATGTTTTCCATTGTTTCTAATATGTGAACCTGCGCTTGACGGGTGCATATGACTGCTACCTTTGATTTCCTTTATTGTTAAATAATACTTGCAAAGTATTTGAAAAACAATGCATATATATATATATATATATATATATATATATATATATATATATATATATATATATATATATATATATATATATATATATATATATATATATATATATATATATTTATTTTAATTTTTTTTTCTTCTTTTGTAGGTACAGTCTGTAGAAACACCTAACACATGCAGTTTTATTGTGCAATATATATCTTTGGAAAAGCAAAAAATGGAATTTCAAGTACTTTTCCCTGAAACAGCATTACATCACAGAGCTAATTTACAGAAAAATGAAAAGTTAAATACTTCAGATGCTTCATGTGAAGACGCTAAAACTCATTGAAAATCACTAAGGTCAGAGCCCAAATTAGACCCTCGTAATTCCTAGGTAGAAAAAAACCTCAAGTTCACAGTAGTTCATATGAAAGTGATCCACATTAGGCATCATGACAGAGTAGCAGATCTGTAAATATCCTGGGTAAACAGAGCTGCTTGTTGACGGGGCACCAAGCGTTCTTCTAGCCCACCAGCAGTTATGCAATGTGATATGAATTATTAAGACGACTGGCAGAGAGTTTGAATCTGTAGCATCGCTGTTCAATATTTAGACAACTTTCAACACAGAATAATCAGCACTGAATTAATGTGCGATTTACACAAGAGAGCAAAAAATACTGAAATATTGTACTAAAGATGCATGTAAGCTAGGGCTGGGCCGATAAACTTTATTATATCGAATCACGATAAAATTTGTCAATAAAAATGATAAACTCTGGACTTTTTTATTCTATATTGATTGAAGAGCCAATCACACAGCTGAAATGTACACCAATGGGAAACTAAATGTGTGTTGATATTAGAGATATTTTGCCGCAGAAAATTTATCAGCCAAAAATATGTCATGCCATTTTAATGGCCCCTTTAATTTGTGTGGCTTTAGTCATTGTTGGGTTAGTCTTTTAAATCTGGAAGCATTAGCAACTTATATCGAAATATATATCGTTATCTTTCAATATGGAAAATAATTATCGAGATAGCATTTTTGCGATATCGTCCAGCCCTAATGTAAGGCAAGAAATTAAAAAATTCAATATTTGAGAGGAAAAACTACAATTATTAACAGAATTTAGAGCATTTAAATGTTTTAACAGTAAAAAGATCATAGAAATTAGTTTTCATACATTGTTAGAAGCTACAAACCTGAAACTATAGTATAGTATAGTATAGCATAGTATTTATGAGATATATCTTTCTAGAAATGACAGTTTACTTTGCTTTAGGATAAAATCAATCCAAAAAAATAGTCCTTTATTTAGATAATTTTTTTGTTCATAATTTTGTTCATTTTGTTCATCTTTTTAGATGTCATATTTGAATAGATTTTTAGACAAAACTTCAATATAACTTTAGAAAATTTAAGAAAGCTCTATTTGAAATCTTTAATACTACTATAATACTAAGTATAATAGTGACCATTCTCAGTGGGTCAGACCTTTTACTCAGAAATATTAACATTTTACAAAAAATATATATATACTACCTAATTAACCATATAGGGTAAAATTAAGTGATTTTATATAGATGGTAATAACTGATCTATGCAAATAAAGTATCTTAAAGTTTCAAATAGCATTTGTGAAAATAAAAACGTCAAAACAGATATCTACATAAAACTCAATCAACATACTTATTAACATTTAGATTTAATTATTATTTTGGGGTTCCAGAGTATCATTACCAAATGATCCTTACTCTTAATATGCCTGACAATTTTTTTGTTTATATTAATGCCTGTAACACTGAATGACGTCTAAGTGAATGTCTTAAACAAATCATGCCAAAAATTCAGAGACCGCACACATGCATAGGAACAATTATGACATCTGTGTGCCACAGCACTGCATACATTACAGAGACTCCTCTATTAAAGGGACAGATCCTGTTATAGAGACCCTTGTGTCTCAAACTGTCCTTTGACTTAAACAAAACAGCCATAAACGATGCCGTCAAAACTGCACACGCACAACAACATCACAAAGCCCACGAGAAAACATCACATTATCTAATATATCACAAGCTGAGCGCGAGGAACAACAATACACGCGCCGTTACACGCGCCAGTCCAAGATCAAACATGGCTGTCCTTATGAACATATATCTGCCTTACAGCATGTCAAAATATAAGGGATATATTCTCACCAATCTTATAAGCGTCGAAACCGTCCTCGAAGTCGTTCCTGGCCCACATCGCGCTCGGTCTCAGTGACTCAAGCCTCAGACACAACACAAAAAACCGAGAGAAAATGCGCGATCCCACCAAGAAGGTAGAGGGGGAGGAATTTAAGTCAAACCGCATTCCATAGTGATGGGCGACTGGAAGAACCTGCGTTTTTATAAGCGTTTATGAAGCGTTTCCGTGTGTCGCGACGCTGTAGCTCCTGAAAAGCTGGCGCAAATGTCGCAGATTTGAGTTACTGTGAAGCGGTGCTGTTCGCACTGTGACTCGCTGGCAGCTGCATCGCGAGGATGTGATCTCACTGGCCGCAGAATCTCCTCCAGAGACGCGGACGGAGAAACGCAATCACAGCGACACTGACTCCGCCCACCGGGAGCAGAAAGGCGGAGCCACCGCAGGAGCACACTACAGTTGAAGTCAGAATTTTTAGCCCTCCTGAATTATTAGACCACCTGTGTATTTTCCCCCTAATTTCTGTTTAAGGGAGAGATTTTTTTTCCAACACATTTCTAAACATAAGTGTTAATAACTCATTCTAATAACTGATTTATTTTTATCATGGTGACAGTAAATAATATTTTACTAGATATTTTCAAGATAGTAGTGTTCAGCTTAAAGTGCAATTTAAAGGCTTAACTAGGTTAAATCAGCAAGTTATTGTACAACAGTGGTTTGTTTTTTAGACAATTGGGGGGAAAAATGCTTAAGAGGGCTAATAATATTGACCTTAAACTCTGAGGAATTAATTTATATCTTAATTTATGAGTATATTATAAATAATTTCTATGGTTTAGTTTTTAATTACAGTTCACACTTTGCTTTTTAAAAGATACAATAATCATTAATGGTGCAATAAAATATGTTTTTCTATTTATTTTACAATAAATAAAAATAATGCAGATTGGAACAGATGGAATAAAAGAGCAATGAGACAGACACAGAATAAAAGGGGATTTATGGATGGATGGATAAATGGATAATAGATAAAAATGTAGATAGAGAAATAGACAGATAGATAGAACGATGGGTGGATGGATAGTGAAGTTGTTTGAAAAGGGATGGATGGATGGATAGTGAAGTTGTTTAAAAAGGGATGGATGGATGGATGGATGGATGGATGGATGGATGGATAGATAGATAATAGATAAAATGCAAAAATGTAAATGTAAAGATGTAGATAGAGCAATAAACAGATAGATAGAACGTTGGATGGATGGATGGATGGATGGATGGATTGTGAAATATTTTGAAAGAGATAGATAGATAGATAGATAGATAGATAGATAGATAGATAGATAGATAGATAGATAGATAGATAGATAGATAGATAGATAGATAGATAGATGGATGGATAGAACAATAGATAAAAAGGTAGATAGAACGGCAGATGGATGGATGGATGGATGGATGGATGGATGGATGGATGGATGGATGGATGGATGGATGGATGATGGATAGATAATAGATGAAAATGTAGATAGAGAAATAGACAGATAGATAGAACGATGGATGAATAGATAGTGAAATATAGATAGATAGATAGATAGATAGACAGACAGACAGACAGACAGACAGACAGACAGATAGATAGACAGACAGACAGACAGACAGACAGACAGACAGACAGACAGACAGACAGACAGACAGACAGATAAAACAATGGATGGATGGATGGATGGATGAATGAATAGAAATCTACCAGAACACCCACCCCCCATTCAGATGGCACATTCTTCTAGAGGGAAACACAGCACAACTATTTATATTTAAAGCTGTTTAAGGCTGTTTGTTTCCACACCTGCTTGACAGACTTAGGGGTTGTTGTCCAAGCTGCCCAAATGGGCCATTCATTTCTTCACATTCCTCTGCAGTATTCACATCTATTTACCTTGCTGTCTCATTACACTCAAACCCTTAGGAGAACTACCGAGAGAGACGCAGGAAACTCTGCTTTTGTCTCTTGCGCAACATATAAATGCACAAAACATAGGGATGGTGGCCCTGATTTTTCACAACATCCGTATTGCAAAACACATAGCATTACATCAATGTACAATTATCATGATAACCGAGGAAACAATTGTCACATGTATTCACACGTTAATGTAATGCAACAACTTTTCAAAATGAAAAATTGATATATTTATGTGTTTGGAAAAAATAATTACACTACACGTCAAAATTCTAATTGCACACACCAAGACTAACATTGGTTAGTTATTTGCCTAATTGGGTTTATTTAAACTGATGAAAGGCTGCATAACAAGTGTATTATCAAAATTCAGTTGTCCATGATGTCTTAATTAAGATCATGCATTCAATTCCAATTATCCAGTTCTGTGGACAAGCTATTTACACAGGCTTCAAATTCAACTCTAGATTAACAATTATGGTTTATAGCTTGTGCTGGAATCATTCAAGGTGCAAACCATTGTTCTATCGGGGTTTATTGTATCCCTTTGACGATAAGAGATAATCTGTATTAATAAAAAGATTGAGTTTAAACGAAAGCTCAGTCTAAAAAAATACTTCCGCAGTATTGTGTAAGCACCTCAGGGTCTATTAACCTGATTTATTACAGTATGCATAAAGTGCTTATATTGACAATTAGAGCTGGAGCTGACCTGCACTTCATTTAAAACGATGTAATGTTTCTTAAAAGAACAGTTCACCCCAAAATCAATGTATTAATTACTCGCCCACTTTGTAAACTTTATGGCTTGTATTTTGTGTGTGTGTGTGTGTGTGTAAGTGTTTTTGTGACATCAGGACATAAATCTGTATAATAACTTAGGTATGACAGTTACAAGAAGATGGTGAAATATGAGGACATTGCTAATGTCCTAATTTCTCAAAAAGCCTATAAAACACTCAGAATGAGATTTTTTCAGAAAGTAAAACTGTTTCCTGTGATTTAGTACACTTTAAAAACAATGGAAACCTATGCAATGTCCCCACAATTTACAAAAACAAATGTGTGTGTGTGTGTGTGTGTGTGTGAGACAAAGTTGTTAAGAACTTAACTGGTCACTGGTTGTACAGAATGAAAATAAGAAGGAAATGAAATAATGTAATAGATTTGTGCAATGTGAGATTGGAACGTGAGACTGACAGGTGAACCGGTGCAGCGGCAGCAGTAATGCAGTCAATGTATCGGTCCGTTGTGGTGAAGAAGGAGCTGTGCTGAAAGGCAATGCCCTTGATTTACTGGTCAATCTACGTTCTTACTCTCACCTATAAGCTTTGGGTCATGACCGAAAGGACAAAGTCTCCAATACAAGCGGCCGAAATTAGTTTCCTTTGCAGGGTGGCAGGGCACACCTTTATAGATAGGGTGAGGAGCTCGGAGTAGAGCCGCTGCTCCTCCACATCGAGGGAAGTCAGCTGAGGTGGCTCGGGCATCTGTTTTGGATCCCTCCTGGACAAGGGAGGTGAAGTTATATTCATCTTGAACAAGATAACCAAGATAACCACTGGCCGGGGAGTTTACATGATCTCCCTGTGCTCGCATGGGTTTCCCCCAAGTTTCCCGGTTTCCTCCCACAGTCCAAAGACATGCAGTATAAGTGAATTGATTAAACCAAATTGGCACAGTATATGAGCATTTAGCTCTAGGCTTCCAATGCACAAACATATGCCTTTCATTTAGGGGTCTATCACACTGTGGCAACTTCCAATAATCACTAATAGGCCCAAAGAACTAACCCAGTGGAGCTCTCGAGACCTACGTGAGCTCAGACTCCCCACTTAACATGCCTTATTATTAATCAGCAGCTACAGCTGCATCCATACATCTCTGAAATGACTCAAATAACTTATAAAGTCATCTGGAATGGCAAAGAAAGTGTACATGCAGGACTTTGGATTCCTCTTCAACGCCTTCTCCATCTTACCCCAGACATGCTCAATAATGTTCATCTCTGGTGACTGGGCTGGCCCATCCTGGAGCAATCCTGGTAAGTGTGAACTCTTGAATTTTAAATAGCGTTGTGCAAATTGGGGCTTAATGAAAATATCATAGTCTTAAGCTTCAAGTTCAAATAAAATTAAATCTGAAAAACCAAAACATTTGCAAAAATATGCTGAAAATATTCCACTGATAATCAAATCCGTTTCATGAGTGAATTACATCAACAAAGATCCTATTCAGAAGTTCACCTAAACACATTAGACACCATTTATAGCAACTGTAGGTAAAACAGCGACCACTACTATATTATTCCTCAAACTATGTTCTGTAGAAAAAAGAAAATCAAACAGGTTTGAACCAACAATTGAGAGAGTAAATAAATGACAGTGTGTTCATTAAGACCAAGCAAAGTCTTTAAAAAAGGCTTCTGCTACAAGCTGTGTCTTGCTAAACACCACCTGTGCATATAAACCCATACCGAGCAGGTGAACAAAAACCCAGAGCAGACATTCCTGTAGACTATAGAGCTGTGGTACTGGATGACACTGAGGTCTGTCGTCACACAACAGAAGCACAGTTCTGGCCCACTCACTCCACACACAGAGACCTTACACTTCACAAAACAAAGAGCACTCACACACACACTTTCTGAACCGCTCTGTGATACAGCCAAAATGCAGCCAAGAGGCATCACTTCTACTGCTCATAATATGTCAGCGCATAACTTTTTCTGGGCTGTTGCACAACAGAAATGAATGATAGCTCAGATCATACAGCTTATCAGGAAGAGGTGTGCTATTACTTACAGAAGTGACCTGACTTCTGAAAAAATATAAGAAAAATACACTTAAGAGCAGAACATGAGCGAAAGCAAATAATGATTGACTATTAAAGAAAGTTGGGTCAAAAAGATACAACCTACATACACAAAAAAGGCATTTGCTGTTTGTTCAGACTACTCCTTTAAAAATGAATTCTTGAGTTTTAGGGGGGCAATCTAATTGTTATACAGTATCCACTTTGTAACAAACAAAATTTGTAAAAACTAATAAGTGAACTTAATTACTTCATGTTGTCCCAACACAAATCGGTTGTGTAGAACCCAGCATTTGTTTTACAGAGTAGCAACCACCACGAACATATAACCAGCAACTACATAGAACTCAAAACACCCCCATTAACATCCTAACAACCAAATCTGAGAACATATTGTAGTTTACTCAAAACTCAATTGAACCATATATCAATGCTGTCAACCACCAAGAAAAACATAACATTGTGAACCCTTTAAGGTCGACTCTTGGAACAATAAATAATTGCCAAGCAACCACCCAGAGAACTATAGACAGGGTTTCTGCAGGTTTCATCAAGTGAAATTTAAGACAGTTTAAGACCATTATAAATTACATTTTAGGCTTTTTTTGCTT